GGTGGTGGTGTTGGTCACACGGGTGGTGGTGTTGGTCCCAGGGGTGATAGTGGTGGTCCCAGAGGTGGTGGTGGTTGTCCTAGGGGTGATAGTGGTGGTCCCAGAGGTGATGGTGGTGGTCATAGGGGTGGTGGTGGTGGTCCCAGGGATGGTGATGTTGGCCACAGCTGTGGTAGTGTTGGTCTCAGGGGTGATGGTGGTGGTCCCAGAGGTGGTGGTGGTTGTCCCAGGAGTGGCAGTGGACACAGATGTCGTGGTGGTGGTCCCAGGGGTGGTGGTGATCCCAAGTGTGGTGGGATTGATCCCAGGGATGGTGATGTTGGTCTCAGGTGTGGTGGAGTTGGTCCCAGGGGTGATGGTGGAGGTCCCAGGGGTGGTGGTGGCGGTCCCAGAGGTTGTGGTGGTGGTCTCAGAGGTGGTGATGGTGGTCCCAGGGATGGTGATGTTGGTCCCAGGGGTTATGGTGGTCACAGGAGTGGTGGTGTTGATCACAGGTGTGATGGGGTTGGTCCCAAGGGTGGTGGTGGTCCCAGGGGTGGTGGTGGTCCCAGGGGTTATGGTGATCCCAAGTGTGGTGGGATTGATCTCAGGTATGGTGATGTTGGTCTCAGGTGTGGTGATGTTGGTCCCAGGGATGGTGGTGTTGGTCACAGGAGTGGTGGGGTTGGTCCCAGGTGTGGTGGAGTTGGTCTCAGGGGTGATGGAGTTGGTCTCAGGGGTGGTGATGTCGGTCCCAGGGGTGATGGTGGTGGTCTCAGGGGTGCTGGTGGTCTCAGGGGTGATGGAGTTGGTCTCAGGGGTGGTGATGTCGGTCCCAGGGGTGCTGGTGGTCTCAGGTGTGGTGGTGGTGACCTCAGGACTGGTGGTGATCTCAGGGATGGTAGCAGTGGTCTCAGGGATGGTGGTGACCTCAGGGATGCTGGTGGTGACCTCAGGGATGCTGGTGGTGACCTCAGGGATGATGCTGGTGACCTCAGGACTGGTGGTGGTCTCAGGACTGGTGGTCCCAGGGGTCGTGGTGGTCTCAGGGAAGGTGGAGGTGGTTCCAGAGGAGTTGTCAGTCTCAGGATTGGTGGTCTCAGGACTGGTGGTGACCTCAGGACTGGTGGTGGTGATCTCAGGGATGGTCATCCTAGGGAATGTCGTGGTGGAGTCATGGGTTGTGGTGGCCTCAGGGAACGTTGATGTCTCAGGGGTGGTGTTTGCCCCAGGGGTTCTGGTGGTCCCAGGGAAGGTGGGGGTGGTCCCAGAGGGGGTGGTGGTCTCAGGACTGGTGGTTTCAGGGGTCGTGGTGGTCCCAGGGAAGGTGGTGGTGGTCCCAGAGGGGGTGGTGGTCTCAGGATTGGTGGTTTCAGGGAAGGTCATGGTGGTGCCAGGGGTTGTGGTTGTCTCCAGGATGGTGGTGGTGACCTCAGGGATGGTGGTGACCTCAGGGATGATGCTGGTGGTCTCAGGACTGGTGGTGGTCTCAGGGATGGTGGTCCCAGGGGTTCTGGTGGTCTCAGGGAAGGTGGAGGTGGTTCCAGAGGAGTTGTCAGTCTCAGGATTGGTGGTCTCAGGGATGGTGCTGGCCTCAGGAAACGTTGTTCCCTCAGGGGTGGTGTTTGTCCCAGGGATGGTTATGGTGGTCTCAGGGGTGGTGGAAATGGTCTCAATGCTGGTGGCCATCCATGGGTCAGTGGTGGCCTCCGGACTGGTGGTCTCAGGGATGGTGGTGGTGCTGTCATGGGGGGTTGTGGTGGTGTCAGGCGTGGTAGGAATGGTCTCAAGGCTGGTGGTCATCCATGGGTCCCTGGTGGTGGTCAATGGGTCACTGGTGCTCTCAGGGGTGGTGATCTCACGGGTGATGGTCTCAGGGGTGCTGATCTCCAGGATGGTGACCTTAGGAGTGGTGGTCCCAGGGGTGGTGGTCTCAGGTGTGGTCGCATTTCCAGATGTCCTCGTTGCTCCCATGGTTCCACCGGTGCTGGTTCCTGCTCAAAAAATGGAAGAACCTTATCTGAGGTGGCTTTGTCGTGTCCTGAACTCGCTCCTCCTGCGTCCAGGTGCTCTTTTGGACCTCCTCAACACCTCTTGGATGGGTTTGGATCCAGCTGAGCCCACCTGGAGCAGTTGGGACCTTCTGGAACATTCCCCCGACGCCACAACTCCTCAATTTTGGGAACATCCATCATCTCCCTCCTCTTCCTCCTCCTCCTCCTCACCCTGAGGGTGTCCCGCTCCTTCACTCCCACATGTCCTCACCTGTCCAGGTGAGTCCCCACCCAAGCTGAGACAACTCCAGAGCCATGAGGACACCTGAGAATTTCCTCAAATCGACATTTTCCTCCTTAAAAATTCCCTTCTGAGAAATTTTATATTTTCGGAAACAAAACCCCGAATGAACAAAAATAACTAAAAAAATAAAATCCACTTAAAACTCCCTCAAAAAAAGGAAAAATAATTAAAAATTCTTCTGGATGTTTCTGCAATCTGCATTTTTCCATCTTGGTGGTTCCTCCTTGAGGTTCTCCAGCTGCGGCCGCTTTGATGAGCCGCCCTGGGGTAATTAACGCGGCCTCTTAATGAAGATTCGCGGAATTAACGTTCCCCAACCGCTGGGACTGGTGGGGGTGAGGAGGAGGAGGAGGAGGAGGAGGAGGAGGAAGGTGGGGATGATGGAGGAGGTTGGAAGGGGAGAAGAAACCCATTCTCATGGACCCCAGACCCATTTCCAGGGACCCCTGACCCATTTCCATGGACCTCTGACCCATCTCCATGGACCCCTGACCCACCTCCATGGACCCCTGACCCATTTCCAGAGACCCCAACTCACTCCCATGGACCCCTGACCCATTCCATGGACCCCTGACCCATTTCTATGGACCCCTGACCCATTTCCATGGACCCCTGACCCACTCCCATGGACCCCTGACCCATTTCCATAGACCCCAACTCACTCCCATGGACCCCTGACCCATCCCCAGGGACCCCTGACCCATTTCATGGACCCCTGACCCATTTCCAGAGACCCCTGACCCATTTCCAGAGACCCCTGACCCATTTCCATGGACCCCTGACCCACCTCCAGGGACCCCTGACCCATTTCCATGGACCCCTGACCCATCTCCATGGACCCCTGACCCATTTCCAGAGACCCCTGACCCATCCCCATGGACCTCTGACCCATCCCCAGGGACCCCTGACCCATTTCATGGACACCTGACCCATTTCCAGAGACCCCTGACCCATCTCCAGAGACCCCTGACCCATTTCCAGAGACCCCTGACCCATTCCCATGGACCCCTGACCCATTCCATGGACCCCTGACCCATTTCCAGAGACCCCAACTCATTCCCAGAGACCCCTGACCCATTTCCATAGACCCCAACTCATTCCCAGGGACCCCTGACCCATTCCCAGTGACCCCTGACCCATTTCCAGTGACCACTGACTCATCTTCAGGGACCCCTGACCTATTTCCATGAACTCTTGACCCATTTCCAGGGACCCCTGACCCATTTCCAGGGACCCCCGACCCATTTCCCATTCACCCCACAGTGGGATGAGACCCCGGAGAGGGAAATTTTATCCAGGGAATGGAGGAGATGGGGGTGAACCCACCTTTCCCCGGGGGATTCTCCGCTGAAAATCCCAAGAGGAGACAACACCACCTCCCATCCCACCTTTTTTTCCCCCAGAATAATCCCAAAAAATTCCTTTTCTGGCCCAACTCACTTGTTTTTCCTTCGGGAATGAAGAGGAGGAGGAAAAAATGGAGATAAAAGATGGAAACTTTCATTTTCCCCATGGCGGCTCCTCCACCGGCACCATGCCAGAGCCGGAACGCGCTTGGAGCCGGCGGTGACGCGGGAAGAAGAGATGGGAAAGGAACCTTTGACCCCGGAGCTGGGAAGGGACCAAACCTCCCACCCTCGTCGGTGACGCAGCCATGGAGTGGCCAAAGCTCTTCCAGGACCATCAGGAACCCCGTGGAGACCCCCTGGGTCATGGTTGGGTCATGGCTGGGTCATGGTTGGGTCATCATCGTTCACCACTGAGCATCAACAACCAAACCCCACCCCAAGAAGAGACTCGGGTGGTCAAAACCAACATCCCAAACCCTTCCAAAATCCCCATGAGGGAAATTGGGGACCCCCTGGAGACCCCCCACCCCTCAGGACCAACCCCAAACTCTTTGGCCGCCCTTTTCTTGCTTTTCCAGCCGCTCCCGCGCAGCCGGCGGGTGGTGACGGCGCTTTTTCCACCCAGAAAACAAACATCTCTTTTTTTCCAGAGCTCTGGGAGCGGTGGGAAGGGTGGGAATTGGAATTTTGGGGTGGCAGGAGGTCAGATTTTATTGGATTAGGGGGTTCCGCCCCGCCGGTGTTTGGCAAAGGGGCGTTTTGTGGGATTTGTTCCTTCTCCGGTGGCGGTTGGGTCCTTGTGCGTTGGTTTCGGTCCTGGTTGGTTGTGTTGGGGTTGGAAATTCCCTCCAAACCCCCCTCGGCCCTCAAACCCCACCCACGACCCCCAAAAATCCCAACTGTGACCCCAAACCTTCAATCTCAACCCCAAAACTCCGATTTTGACGCCCCAAACCCCAAAGCGACGCCCCAAACCCCAAAACCCAACCTGGGCTTCCAAAACCAACCTTGGGCTTTAAAGACTCAACTGTGTCCTCCAGACCCCCAAACGTGACCCCAAAATGCCAATTGTGACCCCAAAACCTCAACCTCAACCCTAAAATTCCCAATCTGGAGCCCCAAACCCCAAACCTCCAATCTCAACATTCAAAACCCCGATCTTAACATCCAAAAATCCCTTTTTTAACCCCAAACTTCAGCCGTGATATCAAATCCCCCAACCCTGACCCCCAAAACCCCAATCTTGACCCCCAAAACCCCCACTGGTGACCCCCAGCCCCAAATTTTGACCCCCAAAGGGGTCACCAGCACTGCCCCCCTTCTTTTGGGGATCCCTCCCACTTTTTCAGGCGATTTTTCAGGAGATGAAATAAATACGTTAATAAATATAATTTCCATAGAGATGAGGATTTTCCACCTCTGGTCACGCTCCCAAATCTGGATCCAACCCCAAACCCCCCCAAGATGTCCTCTCCAAGGAGAAACCCCCCAAAAAGGAGCATGGGAGGACCTCTCCTCTCTCATAGAGGATCCTGATTCCAGCTTTTTTTTCCCCAAAAATGAGGGTTCCGAGGGCTTCGGTCTTGGGGGGCACCTTGGTCACCCCCTCCCATGTATGGGGGAGGTCACAGGGCTGCTGCACCTTCTGCCACCACCTGAAAAACGGGGAGGGGGCCGAGGGTTAAGGTTTGGGGTCAAAATTGGAGGTTTGGGGTCAAAATTGGAGGTTTGGGGTCAAAATCGGGGTTTTGAAGGTCAAAGTTGTGGTTTGGGGGCATCACAATTGGGGTTTTGGGAGTGAAAGTTGGGGATGTGAGGTCAAGGTGGGAGTCTGGGTGTTGAGGTTGAGGGTTTGAAGGTCACAATTGGGGTTTTGAAGTTCAAAATTTGGGGATTGGGCTGGAGTTGGGAGTTTGGGTTCAAAATTGGGGAAGTTGGGGTCAAAGTTGGAGGTTTTGGGGTCACGGTTTTGGGTTTTGGGGGTCGAGATGGGGGTTTTGGGGTTGAGTTTGGGGTTTTGAGGTCAAGGTTTGGGTTCTGAAGATCGAAATTGGGGTTGTGAGGTCACAGTTTGGGTTTTGGGGGTCGAGATGGGGGTTTTGGGGTTGAGTTTGGGGTTTTGAAGTCACAGTTTGGGTTCTGGAGATCAAAATTGGGGTTGTGAGGTCACAGTTGAGACCTTGGATATTTTGAGGTGAGTGGTCGAGGTTTTGGGGGTCACAGTTTGGGTTTTGGGGTCAAAATTGGGGGTTCTGGTCAATCTTAGTCTGAGGACCCCTCCCCAAAACGATGTCACCGCGTCACCCACCGACGCCGGGGGGTCGGCCACCTCCGAGCTGGGCTTGTAGGTGTTGTATCCGTAGGGACCTGCGAGGAGGAAGAAGAGGATGAGGAGGATCACCATGACCCCATGAGGATTTTGGGTGGATTTTCCCTTTCTCCAGCGATGGTTTCACCGCCCATTTGGTGTCCCACCTTTCCCGGCACCGCCGCCTCTGCCGTTGACGTGGTAGATCCCGGTGACGCGGCTGTTGCGACCCCCGTCCGGCCAATTGTCCTCGGTGGCCGCGCTGTGGAGCCGGACAAGTTTGAGGGGGTTGGAGGTGGTGGGGTCTCAACCCTCCCACCCCACCCCATGGGGCAAAGCTGCTGAACCCCAAAATTTTGGGTTTTGACCACCCCGAATCCCCTCCCTGTGACCCCCACCAGGGTTTTCACCTCGGTCCGGGTGATTTCTTCCTCCCTCGGGCCAAGCGGACGGTGAGGACGATGCAGAGGATGAGGAGGATGAGGATGGTCAGGCCCAGCCCCAGCCCCACGCCCAACCCCAGCCCCACTTTGCTGATGTGGGTCTGGCAGCGGTCGCCGGCCGAGAGGTACCAGGGCAGGTCCGGGCAGCTGGAGGGGGAGGGGACAGGTCATGGGGAGGGTCCTCACCCCCTCCAAGGTGGGCACTGGGGGTGGGATCCTCCAAGGAACCCGCAGGAACCTTCCCTGGAGATCCACCACCGTGACCTTGGGTTGGGGTTGAGGTTTGAGGGGGGGGGTCAAGGGGTTTGGGGGTCAAGGGTTGAGTTTGAGGGTCAAGGGTTGGGTTTAGGGGTCCAGGGTTGGGTTTGGGGGTCCAGGGTTGGGTTTGGGGGTCCAGGGTTGGGTTTGGGGGTCCAGGGTTGGGGGTTGGGGGTCCAGGTTCAGTTTGGGGGTCCAGGGTTGACTTTGAGGGCCAAGGCTGAGCTTGGTGGTCATGGGCCAGGTGTTGGTGGTCAAGACTTTGGTGTTGGTTTCAAGGGTTGGGTTTGGGGGTCAAGGTTGAGTTTGGGGGTCCAGGGTTGGGTTTGGGGGTCCAAGGTTGGATTTGAAGGTCCAGGGTTGGGTTTGAAGGACAGGACTTGACAGGACCAAGGGTTGGACCACTGGGGTCAAGGTTTTGGGGTGAAGGTCAAAGTTTTGGGTTCTGGTGGGACCTTGCCCATCAAACACTGGGGAGCTGAAGCCAAGAGCTCAAATTTGGGGTCAAACATTGGGATTCAACTTCTTTGGCCTTGAGGGGACATTTCAGCCCAGGTTGAAGTTCAAGGCCCACCTTAAGGTGGGACCAGTGGGTGTGACCGGGGTGGGCTTGGCCAACTCACAAGCACCGGGGCCCGTCCAGGGTGAGCCGGCAGAGCCCGCGGTGGCAGTCGAAGGAGCCGGGGACGTTGAGGGTGCAGTTGGTGACGCAGAGGAGCCCGTTGGCCGTGCGGTACGGGAAGTAGAACCGGCTGAAGTTGGCCGGCGCGTGCTTCCGGCAGAGCTCTGGAGAAGCCAAACCCCGGTCAAGAGTCCTCCTGTCCCCACCCCACCCCTGTGGTGTCCTCAGGTGTCCCCAGGTGTCCCCGGGCCGCACTCACCGGTGGCGTTGACCGCCAACGTGGTGGCTCTGGTGGCTCTGGCGGAGGTGGCGGTGAAGCAGAGACCGTCTGGGAGAGGGGAGAGCACGAGGTGGTCACGGGGGGTCACCAGAGATGGTGAGGAGCAGGTGGGGGTCACCTACCGGCCGAGGTGCTGCAGTTGTGGGGTTGGGACGCGGCGTTGGCCACCGCCAGCAGCTCCAGGGCTCGGCGCTCCAGGCTGGCGGTGCCGGGCAGGGGCCGCAGATGGACGCGGTAATTCACCACGACGCTGCCGCGGCTGCGGGGGACAGGGTTGGGGCTTGGGGGCTTGGGGGTCTTCAGCTGCCACATCCCATCCCGTCCCATCCCATCCCAGATGTTCTTCATCCATCCCAGAGGTTTTTCTCCATCCCATCCCACTCCATGGATCCCATCTCATGGATCCCATCTCATGGATCCCATACCAGATGTTCCTCACCCATCCCAGATGTTCCTCACCCATCCCAGAGGTTTTTCTCCATCCTACCACACCCCATGGATCCCATCTCATGGATCCCATCTCATGGATCCCATCCCAGATGTTCCTCACCCATCCCAGGTGTTCCTCATCCATCCCAGAGGTTTTTCTCCATCCCATCCCACCCCATGGATCCCATCCCATCCCATCCCATCCCATCCCATCCCATCCCATCCCATCCCATCCCATCCCATCCCAGATGTTCCTCACCCATCCCAGATGTTCCTCACCCATCCCAGATGTTCCTCATCCATCCCAGAGGTTATTCTCCATCCCATCCGACCCCATGGATCCCACCCCATGGATCCCATCTCATGGATGCCATCCCAGATGTTCCTCACCCATCTCAGATGTTCCTCATCCATCCCAGAGATTATTCTCCATTCCACCCCACCCCGTGGATCCCATCTCATGGATCCCATCCCATCCCATCTCATCCGAGATGTTCCTCACCCATCCCAGATGTTCCTCACCCATCCCAGAGGTTTTTCTCCATCCCATCCCACCCCGTGGATCCCATCTCATGGATCACACCCCAGATGTTCCTCACCCATCCCAGAGATTATTCTCCATCCCATCCCACCCCATCCCATCTCATGGATCTCATCCCATCTCCATCTCCATCCCATGGATCCCATCCCAGATGTTCCTCACCCATCCCAGAGGTTTTTCTCCATCCCACCCCACCCCATGGATCCCATCTCATGGATCCCATCCCATCCCATCCCATCCCATCCCATCCCATCCCATCCCATCCCATCCCAATTGCTCCTCATCCATCCCAGAGGTTTTTCTCCATCCCATGGATCCCATGGATCCCATCCCATCCTGTGGATCCCATCCCATCCTCATCTCCATCTCCATCATCTCCATCATCTCCATCTCCATCCCATGGATCCCATCCCAGATGTTCCTCACCCATCCCAGAGGTTTTTCTCCATCCCATGGATCCCATCCCATCCTCATCTCCACCTCCATCATCTCCATCTCCATCTCCATCCCATGGATCCCATGGATCCCATCTCACCCCATCCCACCCCACCCCTGGTCCCTCGCCCACCTCAGGCTCAGGACGTTGATCCCGCGGTAGCCGGACACGTTCCGGTAGATCCCGTCCATCTGGGGACAGAGGGACACGGGTCACCTGTGGGGTTCTCAGGTGCTCCCTTGGGGTGGAACCTTGGGGGGCCCACCCCAAGTGTCCACCCCAAGGGTATTGGGATGGAACTTGGGATGGAGCCTTGGAACTTGGGATGGACACTTGGGATGGAACTTGGGATGGAACTTGGGATGGACCCTTGGGATGGACCCTTGGGATGGACACTTGGAACTTCGGATGGACCTTTGGGGTGGAACTTGGGATGGACCTTTGGGGTGGAACCTTGGAAATTGGGATGGACACTTGGGATGGAACTTGGGATGGAACCTTGGAACTTGGGATGGACTTTTGGGGTGGAACTTGGGATGGACCTTTGGGATGGACCCTTGGGATGGAACCTTGGGATGGAACCTTGGGATGGACACTTGGGACGGTTCCTTGAGGTGACCCGGGGGTCCCTTGGAGTGTCCCCAGCCCAGCAGGTCCCACCACGGTCTCTCACCGTCCGGCTGAACTCCTCGGCGAAGCGCCGGTGGCCGGGGGACGCGGCGTCCCTCATGTCCTCCGAGAAGTCCCGGTTGGTGACACGCGCCATCATCGTCACGGAGGGACCCAACTCTGGTGGGACGGGGCGTGTGGGTGACACGGGGACACCTCGGAGGGGACAGGGGGTGACCACGGGCGTCCCCACCGCTCACCTGCCGTCAGGTTGATGGTGGTGGCACCGAACTCGCAGCGGGGACCGTCCATGTTGGGGGGACACAGACACGCCGTGCCCATCCAGAACCCCCCGTTCAGGCACGGGTCTGTGGGGGACACGAGGTGGTGGAGACCCCGGCGAGGTCACCAGGACCTCCCCGTTCCTCCTCCCAGTTCCACCCAGTTGGCTCCACCATCACCTCATCCTCAGTTTTGGGGTGAAAAGCACAAAAACACCAATTTCTGGTGCCCCACCACCACCCCCATCCTTGGGGTGTCCTCCTGGGTGGAGAGCAACACCCCAAAAAATCCCCATGGATTTGGGGTGGAGGGTCTTCCCACCCCAGGCAGAGCCACCATCCCAGTTCCACCACCACCGCACCCCCAATTTTGGGGTGAAATCCACAAAAACACCAATTCCTGGTGCCACCACCACCACACCCATCCTTGGGGTGTCCTCCTGGGTGAGGGGCAACACCCCAAAAATCCCCATGGATTTGGGGCAGAAGGTCTTCCCACCCCAGGCAGAGCCACCATCCCAGTTCCACCATCACCGCACCCTCAATTTTGGGGTAAAAACCACAAAACCTCCAATTTCTGGTGCCACCACCACACCCATCCTTGGGGTGTCCTCCTGGGTGGGGGGCAACACCCCAAAAATCCCCATGGATTTGGGGCATGGGGAGGGGTCTTCCCACCCCAAAGCCACCAACCTCTGGTGGTGGGCACGGTGGTGGTGGTGGTGGTTCTCCTTGGGATGTCCTCCTGGGTGAGGGGCAACACCCCAAAAATCCCCATGGATTTGGGGTGGAAGGTCTTCCCACCCCAGGCAGAGCCACCATCCCAGTTCCACCATCACCTCATCCTCAATTTTGGGGTGAAAAACACAAAAACACCAATTTCTGGTGGCCCACCACCACCGCACCCATCCTTGGGGTGTCCTCCTGGGTGGGAGGGGCAACACCCCCAAAATTCCCCATGGATTTGGGGCATGGGGAGGGGTCTTCCCACCCCAAAGCCACCAACCTCTGGTGGTGGGCACGGTGGTGGTGGTGGTGGTTCTCCTTGGGATGTCCTCCTGGGTGAGGGGCAACACCCCAAAAATCCCCATGGATTTGGGGTGGAAGGTCTTCCCACCCCAGGCAGAGCCACCATCCCAGTTCCACCATCACCACACCCCCAATTTTGGGGTGAAAACCACAAAAACCCCAATTTCTGGTGCCACCACCATCCCCATCCTTGGGGTGTCCTCCTGGGTGGGAGGGGCAACACCCCCAAAATTCCCCATGGATTTGGGGCATGGGGAGGGGTCTTCCCACCCCAAAGCCACCAACCTCTGGTGGTGGGCACGGTGGTGGTGGTGGTGGTGGTTCTCCTGGTGCTTCGGTGCGTGGCTCCGGTCCAGCGCTGCGTCCTCGTGGTGGGGGTGGTGGTGGTGGGTCTGGGGTCTTCACAGCGGGGTCCGGAGAAGCCGTGGGGACAGTAGCACTCGGTGCCCACGGCGGTGCCGCCGTGCCGACAGGCGGTGGCCGGGTCGGGGGTGGCACAGCGAGGTCCCGTCCGGCCGGGGGGACACACGCAGCGGTGGCCCACGGCGGTGCTGCCGCCGGCGCAGAGGTCGGTGGGGTCGGGGGTCTCGCAGGTGGGGCCGGAGTAGCCGGGGGGACACAGGCAGAGGGTCCGGTTGGCCACGCCGCCGTTGCGGCACACGACTGGAAGAGGTGGGGACAAGGACACGGTGAGGGGACACCATGGATGGAGGGGCTTTGTTCATGGGAGGAGAACCTTGAGGAGACCCCCACCTCAGGAGACCCCAGAACATCCATCCTCATCTTCCTCCCCCCCCCCCAGGAGCTACATGGGAAGATCTCACCCCAGAAGATCCATGAGAAGGAGACCCCACCCCAGGAGCTCCATGAGAAGGAGACCTCCACCCCAAGACACCCCAGAACCTCCATCCTCATCTTCCTCCCCACCCCAGGAGACCCTCAGGAAGGAGACCCCCACCCCAAAAGACCCCACAACTTCCATCTTCTTCCAACTCCTCCCCCCATGAGACCCCTGGGAAGGAGACCCCCACCCCAGGAGACCCTCCTGACCCCAGAGAGGACACCCCACCCCGGTGACCCCCCAGGACACCCACCGGCCGGGGGTCTGTCGCCATGTGGGAGGTAGAGGCAGATGGTGGCCATGGTGGGGGCAGTGGAGCTGCTGAAGAAGTCCCCGGTGGTCCCAGCGGAGACGTTGGCCAGTGCCCCGGTGGCTTTGGTGGTGTTGGGCGAGATCTCGGTGACATCCAGGATGGTGTTGGTGGCATTGGGTGGGGCTGGCGTTGAGGTGACCTCAGCAGGGGTGACGGAGAAGGTGGACGGGGTGTGGCTCTCCAGGGTGGTGGCCCTGGTGTCACTTTCCAGGGTGGTGGCCCTGGTGTCACTTTCCAGGGTGGTGGCCCAGGTCTGGTTCTCCACGTCCCTGGTGCTGCCCTCCATGGTGGTCACACCGGTGTCACCTCTCAAGGTGGTGGCCCTGCTGTTGTTCCCCACGGCCGTGGTGTTCCTTGCCCTGGTGGTGGCCCTGCTGTGGCTTCCCAGGTGTCCTGGTGGCACCATCACGGTGGCACTTTCCACAGTGGTGGCCCTGGTGTCACTTACCATGGTGGCCACTGGTGTGGCCTCGGTGTCACCTTCCATGGGGGTGGCCTCAGTGTCACCATCCATGACCGTGGTGTCACCATCCATGGCCGTGGTGTCACCATCCATGGCCGTGGTGTCACCTTCCAGGAGGTCTGACCGAGTGACCGCGGTGTCACCTTCCACAGCTGTGGTCTCCCCCTCCATGGTGGTGGCCCTGGCGTGGCTCCTCGTGGGCGAGGCCGTGACGTTTCTCACCCGGCGCGCCGGCAGCATCGGCGTGGTGGTGGCCATGGGGACACTTCCCCTGACCCTGGTGGCCCTCTCTGTGATGGTGACCACGTCATGGTCAGTGCCGGCATTGACCTCTGTGTCCCTCTTGGTGATGGTCACCACGTCATGGTCAGTGCCAACCATCCCATGAGTGACCGCGGTGGCAGTGACCTCTGTGTCCCTCTTGGTGATGGTCACCACGTCATGGTTGGTGCCATCCACCCCATGAGTGACCGTGGTGGCACTGACCTCTGTGTCCCCCTCAGTGATGGTGACCACGTCATGGTCAGTGCTGGCCACCCCATGAGTGACCTCTGTGTCCCTCTCCATGATGGTGACCACATCATGGTCGGTGCCATCCACCCCGTGAGTGACCATGGTGGCACCGACCTCTGTGTCCCTCTTGGTGATGGTCACCACGTCATGGTCGGTGCCATCCACCCCGTGAGTGACCGCGGTGGTGGAAGTGACCTCTGTGTCCTCCTCCATGATGGTCACCACGTCATGGTCAGTGCCGACCACCCCATGGCTGACCGTGGTGGCAGTGACCTCTGTGTCCTCCTCCATGCTGGTGACCATGTCATGGTTGGTGCCGACCACCCCATGGCTGACCATGGTGGTGGTGACCTCTGTGTCCCTCTCCATGATGGTCACCACATCATGGTTGGTGCCAACCATCCCATGAGTGACCGCGGTGGCACTGACCGCTTTGTCCCTCTCCATGATGGTGACCACGTCATGGTCAGTGCCGGCCACTCCATGAGTGACCGTGGTGTCACCGCCCACAGCGGTGACAGTGACGTTCCTTCCCACGCTGCCACCATTGGTGGTGGCATCCACAGCACCACGTCCCACTCTGGTGGCACTGCCCACCTTGGGTCTGCCCGTGATGTTCCTCGATGCCACATCCATGGTGCCACCTCCAGCGGTGGTGACCTCCGTGGTGCCACCTCCAGCGGTGGTGACCATCACCGTGTCGTTGATCCCCACCGTGTCACCAACGTACACCTTCTCCATGACCGTGGTGGGACCTGTGCTGGTGCACTCGCACCGCGGTCCCCACGCCGTGGTGGGACACCGGCATGTCCCCTTCTCCAAAATGCCACCATTGAGGCACGGCCCGAGCTCCTCCATCTCCTGGCAGGTGTCCCCACGGAACCCCGGTGGGCACACGCACATTGTCCCGAAGGCGGTGGCCCCGTTGTGACAGGCGCTGGTGGGGTCGCGCCGCTGGCACCGGGGTCCCCCAAACCCCGGGGGGCAGTAGCAGGAGGTCCCCACGGCGGTGCCACCGTTGTGACAGGCGCTGGTGGGGTCGGGGGTCTCGCAGCGGTGGCCGGAGTGGCCGGGGGGACAAACGCAGCCGGAGCCCACCGCGGTGCCACCGTTGGTGCAGGGGGCTGGAAGGGACGGGAGGGTGTGGGGTGGGGTGGGAATGGGGGAGTCAGAATTTGGGGAGGGGGCTGGGGGGTGCCCAAATTGGGGGAGGGGGCTGGGGGGGTGCCCAAATTGGGGGAGGGGGCTGGAGTCTGTCCCCTAATTGGGGGAGGGACACAAGGGTTTGTCCCCAAATTCGGGGAGGGGGCTGGAGGGTGTCCCCAAACTGGAAAAGGACACAAGGGTCTGTCCCTAAATTTGGGGAGGGGGATGGGGGTCTGTCTCCTAATTGAGGGAGGGGGCTGTGGGGGTGTAACTAAATTGGGGGAGGGGGCTGGGAACCGGGGGTCTGTCCCCAAACTGGAGAAGGGACACAAGGGTCTGTCCCCAAACTGGGGGAGGGACACAAGGGTTTGTCCCCAAATTCGGGGAGGGGGCTGGGGGTCTGTCCCCAAATTTGGGGAGGGGGCTGGGGGGTGTCCGAATTGAGGGAGGGGGCTGGGGGGTGTAACTAAATTGGGGGAGGGGGCTGGGGGTCTGTCCCTAAATTGGGGGAGGGGGCTGGGGGGTGTAACTAAATTGGGGGAGGGGGCTGGGGGTCTGTCCCCTAATTGAGGGAGGGGGCTGGGGGGTGTGCCCACATTGGGGAGGGGGCTGGAGGATGGACCCAAACTGGAAAAGGGACACAAAAGTTTGTCCCTAAATTGGGGGAGGGGGCTGGGGTCTGTCCCCAAACTGGACAAGGGACACAAGAGTTTGTCCCCAAATTCGGGGAGGGGGCTGGGGGTCTGTCCCTAAATTGGGGGAGGGGGCTGGGGGGTTGTCCCCAAACTGGAAAAGGGACACAAGGGTTTGTCCCCAAATTTGGGGAGGGAACTGGGGGTCTGTCCCCAAACTGGAAAAGGGACACAAAATCTGTCCCCAAACTGGAAAAGGACCCAAGGGTCTGTCCCCAAACTGGGAGAGGGGGCTGGGGGTCTGTCCCCAAACTGGGAAAGGACCCAAGGGTCTGTCCCCAAACTGGAAAGGGACACTGGGGGTCTGTCCCCAAACTGGGAAAAGGACATGAAAGTCTGTCCCCAAACTGGGGGAGGGAACTGGGGGGTCTGTCCCCAAACTGGGGGAGGGACACAAAATCTGTCCCCAAACTGGAAAAGGACCCAAGGGTCTGTCCCCAAACTGGGAAAGGGACACAAAATGTGTCCCCAAACTGGAGAAGGGAACTGGGGGTCTGTCCCCAAACTGGAAAGGGACCCAAGGGTCTGTCCCCACCCCTGCAGTGGCACCCGGGGGTCCACCCCGCTCCCCATGGATCAGTGTCACCCAACCCATCCCCCTCAGGAGAGGACCCACAAGTCGGGGGGGGACATCGGGGTGTGACCCCCAAAATCTGCTCCTTGAGGACCAAAACCCCCATCCCAAAACGGGCAGAGGGGAGGTGACACCCACAGGGAGCACCCTGGTGGCACCCAAAAATGTGCATTGGGTGCTCCAAGCTCATCGCCGAGAATCCCCAAAAAGAGCCAAAACCCCAAAAATTCCCAAAAAAGGGAATTCTGGAGGTGTCAGGATGGAGACGCCTCCACCTCACCCCCGTCTCACCTGGCAGAGCCTCCGAGGGGACGAAGAGGAGGAGGAGGATGAAGATGAAGATGCTGCCACCCAACTCCATCCTCGGCCGATCCCGGAGCGGCGACTGAGACGGATCCGGCGACCGCCGGGACTTTGTGGCCCGAATCCGTCACCGCAAAGTTGGGCAGCGCCGGTAAATAATTCCCTGAGTCACCAATTTTTATCAAACCTCTGGAAAAGATAAAAAATATTTAAATAATTAAAATAAAAAGGGGCGTGAGAAGAGCCGGTGAACATTCCCCAAGGAATTCCAAACTGGCCGGACAACTCCGGAGCGGCACCGCCGGCCCGGCCCCGGCGCCGGGTGCTGATAAGATATGGGGGGTGGGCACTTCCCCCGTTTTGGGGCGGTGCCGCCGTCCCCAAAAGTCCTGGAGATGTTGGAGCCGGGAACGGGGGAGGTTGGGTTGGGTTGGGTTGAGTTGGGTTGGTTGGGTTGGGTTGGGTTGGGTTGGGTTGGGTTGGGTTGGGTTGGTTGGGTCGGGTTGAGTTGGGTTGAGTCACCGCCGAGTGACGGCGACGTGTCCCCTCCCACCCACGGGTGCGGGGTTTTGGGGTGGGGTTTTGGGGTCTCCAGGGGGGTCCCCTGGTGGGATTTGGGGTGGTTGGGTTGGGTTGGGTTGGGTTGGGTTGGGTTGGTTGGGTTGGGTTGAGTTGAGTCACCGCCGGGTGACGGCGACGTGTCCCCTCCCACCCGCGGGTGTCGGGTTTTGGGGTGAGGAGGGGGTCCCCAGGGGGGTTCCCTGGTGGGATTTGGGGTGGTTGGGTTGGGTTGGGTTGGGTTGGTTGGGTTGGGTTGGGTTGGGTTGGTTGGGTTGGGTTGGGTTGGGTTGGGTTGGTTGGGTTGGGTTGGGTTGGGTTGGGTTGGGTTGGGTTGGTTGGGTTGGGTTGGTTGGGTTGGGTTGGGTTGGGTTGGTTGGGTTGGGTTGGGTTGGGTTGGGTTGGTTGGGTTGGGTTGGGTTGGGTTGGTTGGGTTGGGTTGGGTTGGGTTGGGTGGGTTGGGTTGGGTTGGTTGGGTTGGGTTGGGTTGGTTGGGTGGGTTGGGTTGGTTGGGTGGGTTGGGTTGGGTTGGTTGGGTTGGTTGGGTTGGGTTGGTCGGGTTGGGTTGGTTGGGTTGAGTCACCGCCGGGTGACGGCGACGCGGCCCCTCCCACCCATGGGTGCGGGGTTTTGGGGTGGGGAGGGGGTCCCCAGGGGGGTCCCCTGGTGGGATTTGGGGTGTTTGGGGTGGTTGGTTGGGTTGTCTCACCTTCCTGGGGTGTCCCAGTATGTCCCAGTATGTCCCAGTTTGGTCAGGGTGCTTTTTGGGGGTGTCCCAGTATGTTCCAGTTTGTTCTGGGTGCTCCTTGGGTGTCCCAGTATGTCCCAGTATGTCCCAGTTTGCTCTGGGTGCCAGCTGCTCCCAGTGCCTCCCAGTCCATCCCAGTGCCTCCCAGTATGTCCCAGTATGTCCCAGTTTGCTCTGGGTGCCAGCTGCTCCCAGTGCCTCCCAGTCCATCCCAGTGCCTCCCAGTATGTCCCAGTATGTCCCAGTTTGCTCTGGGTGCCACCTGCTCCTTGGGGTGTCCCAGTATGTCCCAGTATGTCCCAGTATGTCCCAGTATGTCCCAGTTTGCTCTGGGTGCCAACTGTTCCTTGGGGTGTCCCAGTAAGTCCCAGTATGTTCCAGTTTGGTCTGGGTCCTTTTTGGGGGGTGTCCCAGTATGTCCCAGTATGTCCCAGTGCCTCCCAGTATGCCCCAGTATGTCCCAGTATGTCCCGGTATGTCCCAGTTTGTTCTGGGTGCTCCTTGGGCTGTCCCAGTATGTCCCAGTATGTCCCAGTGTGTCCCAGTCTGTCCCAGTATGTTCCAGTTTGGTCTGGGTGCTTTTTGGGGGTGTCCCAGTATGTCCCAGTATGTCCCAGTTTGGTCTGGGTACTTTTTGGGGGTGTCCCAGTATGTCCCAGTATGTCCCAGTATGTCCCAGTTTGGTCGGGGTGCCACCTGCTCCCAGTGCCTCCCAGTATGTCCCAGTATGCCCCAGTATGTCCCAGTTTGCTCTGGGTGCCAACTGCTCCTTGGGCTGTCCCAGTATGTCCCAGTGTGTCCCAGTATGTCCCAGTTTGGTCTGGGTGCTCCTTGGGCTGTCCCAGTATGTCCCAGTGTGTCCCAGTATGTCCCAGTATGTCCCAGTTTGGTCTGGGTGCTTTTTGGGGGTGTCCCAGTATGTCCCAGTATGTCCCAGTATGTCCCAGTATGTCCCAGTTTGGTCTGGGTGCTCCTTGGGTTGTCCCAGTATATCCCAGTATGTCCCAGTTTGGTCTGGGTGCTTTTTGGGGGTGTCCCAGTATGTCCCAGTATGCCCCAGTATCTCCCAGTTTGTTTTGGGTGCCCCCTGCTCCCAGTCCCTCCCAGTCCCTCCCAGTCCCATAACTCCCCCCCACCCCCAAACCCGCGGCAATTCACACAAATCAAACCAACAAATCGATAATTTATTATCAATACATCGATTATTACTATAAATAAATACGGGGGAGGGGCAGGAAAAGGGGGCGGGGCTCCTGCCCCTCCCCCCTCCCCCCAAATGGATTTTTGGGGGGTTTCAACCCCCCCCGGGGACCCCCCGGGCTCTGCCCAGGGTGGGGGTGGGGCCTCATCACCCCAAAGAAATAAATATTGAGGGGTTCGACCCCCAAAATCCCACAGAATTCCCCCAAAATCCCCCAAAATTCAATTCCCCCAAAATCCCCCAAAATTCCCCAAAATCCCCCAAAATTCAATTCCCCCAAAATCCCCCAAAATCCCCAAAATTCACCCAAAATCCCCCAAAATCCCCCCAAAATCCCCTCAAAATCCCCCCAAAATTCCCCAAAATTCAATTCCCCCAAATTCCCCCAAAATCCCCAAAATTCCCCCAAAATCCCCCAAAATTACCCCACAATTCCCCCAAAATCCCCAAAATTCCCCCAAATCCCACAGAATTCCCCCAAAATCCCCCAAAATTCAATTCCCCCAAAATCCCCCAAAATCCCCAAAATCCCCCAAAATTCCCCCAAAACCCCCAAAATTCAATTTCCCCAAAATCCCCCAAAATTCAATTCCCCCAAAATCCCCCAAAATTCAATTCCCCCAAAATCCCCCAAAATCCCCCAAAATTCCCCCAAAATCCCCCAAAATTCAATTCCCCCAAAATCCCCCAAAATTCCCCCAAAATCCCCCCAAAATCCCCCCAAAATCCCCCAAAATTCCCCCAAAATCCCCCAAAATTCAGTTCCCCCAAAATCCCCCCAAAATTCCCCCAAAATCCCCCAAAATTCAATTCCCCCAAAATTCCCCCAAAATTCCCCAACCCCAAAGGTCTCGCCCGGCCCCTGGCACGTCCCGCGCGCCGGAGCAAACTGGGAGAAACTGGGAGAAACTGGGAGTTACTGGGAGCTACTGGGAGAAACTGGGAGAAACTGGGAGTTACTGGGAGCTACTGGGAGCTACTGGGAGCTGGTCCCGATTCTCACGTGGGTTTGGGGGTCTCTCGTGGGGTTTGGGGGTCTCCTGGTCCAGGTCAATGTCCCCTCATTGGGGTCGGGGTCTCCTCATTGGGGTTGGGGTCTCCTCACTTGGGTCAGGGTCTTCTGGTCCAGGTCAAGGTCCCCTCATTGGGGTTGGGGTCTCCTGGTTGGTGTTGGGGTCTCCTGTTTGGGGTCAGGGTCTCCTCACTTGGGTCGGGGTCTTCTGGTCCAGATCAATGTCCCCTGGTTTGGGTTGGGGTCTCCTGGTCCGTGTTGGGGTCTCCTGGTCCAGGTCGGGGTCTCCTCATTGGGGTCGGGGTCTTCTGGTCCAGGTTGATGTCCCCTCATTGGGGTCGGGGTCTCCTCATTGGGGTCGGGGTCTCCTCATTGGGGTTGGGGTCTTCTGGTCCAAGTCAAGGTCTTCTGGTCTCTGTTGGGGTCTCCTGGTTGGGGTTGGGGTCACCTCCTTGGGGTCGGGGTCTTCTGGTCCACATCGAGGTCCCCTCATTGGGGTCGGGGTCTCCTCATTGGGGTCGGGGTCTTCTGGTTGGGGTCGGGGTCTCCTGGTTGGGGTCTTGTCATTTGGGTCGGGGTCTTCTGGTCCCTGTTGGGGTCTCCTCATTAGGGTCAGGGTCTTCTGGTCCAGGTCAATGACCCCTCCTTGGGGTTGGGGTCTCCTCATTGGGGTTGGGGTCTTCTGGTCCATGTTGGGGTCTCCTTGTTGGGGTCTTCCCCTTGGGGTCGGGGTCTCCTCATCAGGGTTGGGGTCTCCTGGTCCATGTTGGGGTCTCCCTGTTGGGGTCTCCTCACCGGGGTTGGGGTCCCCCCCTTGGGGTTGGGGTCTCCTCATCAGGGCTGGGGTCTCCTCATTGGGGTCGGGGTCTCCTCATTGGGGTCGGGGTCTCCTCATTGGGTCTGGGGTCTCCTGGTCCATGTTGGGGTCTTCTGGTCCATGTTGGGGTCTCCTCCTTGAGGTTATGGTCTCCTCACTGGGGTTGGGGTCTCCTCCTTGGGGTCGGGGTCTTCTGGTCCTTGTTGGGGTCTCCTTGTTGGGGTCCCCTCATTGGGGTCGATGTCCCCTCATTGGGGTTGGGGTCTCCTCGTCCATGTTGGGGTCTTCTTGTTGGGGTCTCCTCATTGGGGTTGGGGTCTTCTGGTCCATGTTGGGGTCTCCTTGTTGGGGTCTTCCCCTTGGGGTCAGGGTCCCCTCTTTGGGTCGGGGTCTTCTGGTCCTTGTTGGGGTCCCCTCGCTGGGGCCGATGTCCCCTCCTTGGGGTCTTCTGGTCCTTGTTGGGGTCCCCTCCTTGGAGTTGGGGTCCCCTCCTTGGGGCTGATGTCCCCTCCTTGGGGTCTCCTGGTCCATGTTGGGGTCTCCTTGTTGGGGTCCCCTCACTGGGGTCGATGTCCCCTCATCGTGGTCGATGTCTCCTCCTTGGGGTTGGGGTCTCCTGGTCCATGTTGGGGTCCCCTCATTTGGGTTGGGGTCTCCTTGTTGGGGTCTCCTCATTGGGGTTGGGGTCCCCCCCTTGAGGTCGATGTCCCTCACTGGGGTCAATGTCCCTCATCGGGGTCAATGTCCCCTCAGTGGGGTCGATGTCCCCTCCTTGGGGTCTTCTGGTCCATGTTGGGGTCTCCTGGTTGGGGTCCTCTCCTTGGGGTTGGGGTCTCCTGGTCCATGTTGGGGTCTCCTTGTTGGGGTCCCCTCATTGGGGTCAATGTCCCCTCATCGGGGTCGATGTCCCCTCGTGGTGCTCCGGGTGGTCCCGGGGGGGGGTCACAGGTCAGGGGTGACCTTCGGCCTCGGGGTCCTCAGCTGGGGGAGGGGACAGCGTGAGAGGCAGGTCCTGGCAGGGGATTGGGGTCTCTATGGGGTTCTGGCAGGGAAATGGGGTCCCTTTAGGGTCCTGGATGGGGATTTGGGTCTCTTTGGGGTCCTGGAAGGGGATTGGGGTCTCTTTGGGGTCCTGGCAGGGGAGTGGGGTCCCTTTTGGGTCCTGGCAGGGGATTGGGGTCTCTTTTGGGTCCTGGAAGGGGATCTGGGGTCTTTTTGGGGTCCTGGCAGGGGACTGGGGTCTCTTTGGGGTCCTGGAAGGGGATTGGGGTGTCTTTGGGGTCCTGGAAGGGGATTTGGGGTCTCTTTAGGTCCTGGCAGGGAAATGGGGTCTCTTTTGGGCCCTGGAAGGGGATTGGGGTCTCTTTGGGGTCCTGGAAGGGGATTGGGGTCTCTTTGGGGTCCTGGCAGGGGATTGGGGTCTCTTTAGGTCCTGGCAGGGGATTCGGGATCTCTTTAGGGTCCTGGCAGGGGATTTGGGGTCCATTTAGGGTCCTCGCAGGGATTTGGGTTCCTTTAGGTCCTGGCAGGGGATTCGGGATCTCTTTAGGGTCCTGGCAGGGATTCGGGATCTCTTTAGGTCCTGGCAGGGATTCGGGATCTCTTTAGGTCCTGGCAGAGGATTTGGGATCTCTTTAGGTCCTGGCAGGGGATTTAGGTTCCTTTAGGTCCTGGCAGGGGATTCGGGATCTCGTTAGGTCCTGGCAGGGGATTTGGGTTCCTTTAGGTCCTGGCAGGGGATTCGGGATTCTTTAGGGTCCTGGCAGGGGATTTTGGGTCCCTTTAGGGTCCTGGCAGGGATTTGGGTTCCTTTAGGTCCTGGCAGGAAATTTGGGATCTCTTTTGGGGTCCTGGCAGGGGATTTGGGTCCCTTTAGGTCCTGGCAGGGATTGGGGATCTCTTTAGGTCCTGGCAGGGAATTCGAGATTCTTTAGGTCCTGGAAGGGGATTTAGGTTCCTTTAGGTCCTGGCAGGGGTGTGTGTACCTGCAGGAAGGGATCCACGCGCTCCAAGGACGGTCGGAAGGTGCCGGGGGGGGGTCCCGGGGGTCTCCCCCAGATCTCGGGGTGCCCCGGGGGGGGGTGGGGGGGGGCGACCCCCGGGTTGGGGATCACGGCCCCCCCCGCGGGGCTCCAGGTGAAATCGTCCAGTTCGTACCAAGAACCCCCAAAATGGGGGGGGAGGTCACTGGGGGGAGGGGCAGGGGTGAGAACTGGGGGGACTGGGAGAGACCCCCCCTAACTGGGAGAGACCCCCCAAACTGGGAACCCAAACTGGGAATGGAGACCCCCCCAAACTGGGAATGGAGACCCCCCCAAACTGGGAATGGAGACCCCCCCAAATTGGGAATCCAGACTGGGAGACCCCCCCCAAACTGGGAATCCAGACTGGGAGACCCCCCCCAAACTGGGAGACCCCCCCCAAACTGGGAATCCAGACTGGGACACCCCCCCCCCCAAACTGGGAACCCGAACTGGGAGACCTCCCCCAAACTGGGAATCCAAACTGGGAGACCCCCCCCAAACTGGGAATCCAAACTGGGAGCCCACCAAGATGAGGAACCCAAACTGGGAGACCCCCAAATTGAAGAACCCAAACTGGGAGCCCACCAAGATGAAGAACCCAAACTGGGAACCCCCAAAATGAGGAACCCAAACTGGGAACCCAAACTGGGAACCCACCAAGATGAGGAACCCAAACTGGGAACCCAAACTGGGAACCCCCTCAGATGAAGAACCCAAACTGGGACCCCAAACTGGGAGCCCACCAAGATGAGGAACCCAAACTGGGAACCCCCCAAGATGAAGAACCCAAACTGGGAACCCAAACTGGGAACCTCCCCCAGATGAAGAACCCAAACTGGGAGACCCCCCAAATTGAAGAACCCAAACTGGGAACCCAAACTGGGAACCCCAAGATGAGGAACCCAAACTGGGAACCCAAACTGGGAACCCCCCAAGATGAGGAACCCAAACTGGGAACCCCCAAAATGAGGAACCCAAACTGGGAACCCAAACTGGGAACCCACCAAGATGAAGAACCCAAACTGGGAACCCAAACTGGGAATCCCCCCAAGATGAGGAACCCAAACTGGGAACCCCCCCCAGATGAGGACCCCAAACTGGGAACCCAAACTGGGAACCCACCAAGATGAAGAACCCAAACTGGGAACCCAAACTGGGAATCCCCCCAAGATGAGGAACCCAAACTGGGAACCCCCCCCAGATGAGGAACCCAAGCTGGGAGCCCAAACTGGGAACCCCCCTCAGATGAAGAACCCAAACTGGGAACCCAAACTGGGAGCCCACCAAGCTGAGGAACCCAAACTGGGAACCCCAAAATGAGGAACCCAAACTGGGAGACCCCTCCCAAGGCAGAACCCAAACTGGGAACCCCCAAGATGAGGAACCCAAACTGGGAACCCAAACTGGGAGACCCCAAATTGAAGAACCCAAACTGGGAACCCAAACTGGGAACCCAAACTGGGAACCCAAACTGGGAACCCCCCCCAGATGAGGAACCCAAACTGGGAACCCAAACTGGGAGCCCACCAAAATGAGGAACCCAAACTGGGAACCCACCAAGATGAGGAACCCAAACTGGGAGACCCCCAAAATGAGGAACCCAAACTGGAACCCGCCCCAAGATGAAGAACCCAAACTGGGAACCCAAACTGGGAGCCCACCAAGATGAGGACCCCAAACTGGGCGCCCCCCAGTGCGGACCCCGCCCGGGCCGTACCTGCGGTGGCGCCGGTGGCGGTGGCAGATCAGGACCACGAGGAGGACGAGGCAGAGGAGGAAGAGCAGGGCCACCACCAGGCCCAGCCCGGTGGCCACCTTGCTGACCCGGCCCGAGCACTGCGCCCCCGCGTACCAGTACAGCTCCTGGTCCGGGCAACTGGGGAGGGGACGCGGGGTCACCACGGGGGTGGTGGGACCTTGTGGTGGACATCAGGACCCCATGGTGGTCATTGGGACCCTGTGGTGGCCATTGGCACCCCGTGGTGGCCATTGGGACCTCATGATGGGTTTGGGGTCACCACGGAGGTGTTGGGACCCTGTGGTGGACATCAGGACCCCATGGTGGCCATTGGGACCCCGTGGTGGCCGTTGGGACCCCGTGGTGGATGTTGGGATCTCATGATGGGTTTGGGGTCACCACGGGGGGTGGTGGGACCTCATGGTGGCCATTGGGACCTCATGGTGGGTTTCGGGACCCCATGGTGGCCATTGGGACCTCATGATGGGTTTGGGTCACCACGGGGGTGCTGGGACCTCGTGGTGGCCATTAGGACCCCGTGGTGGCCATTGGGACCTCATGATGGGTTTTGGGACCCCATGGTGGGCATTGGAACTCCATGGTGGACATTGGGATACCATAGTGGCCATTGGGACCCCGTGGTGGACGTTGTGACCCTGTGGTGGCCGTTGTGACCCCGTGGTGGCCATAGTGACCCCATGGCAGGTTCTGGGACCCCTTGGTGGCCGTTGTGACCCCTTGGTGGCCGTTGTGACCCCTTGGTGGCTGTTGTGACCCCGTGGTGGCCGTTGTGACCCCGTGGTGCCCGTTGTGACCCCTTGGTGGCCGTCGTGACCCCATGGCAGGTTCTGGGACCCCTTGGTGCCCGTTGTGACCCCGTGGTGGCTGTTGTGACCCCTTGGTGGACATCAGGACCCCGTGGTGGCTGTTGTGACCCCATGGCAGGTTCTGGGACCCCGTGGTGGACATCAGGACCCCGTGGCAGGTTCTGGGACCCCCTGGTGGCACTCACAAGCAGCGGGGTCCCTCGCGGGTGACCTGGCAGCGGCCGTGGTGGCACTCCAGGCTCTGGGGCCGGTTGGGCGTGCAGGAGGTGACGCAGTGCAGGACCCCCGAGGAGATGGACGCCGAGAAGAAGTCACCGTAGCCGGGAGGGGCTCGCTGGTGGCACAGCTCTGGACAGGGGGACACGGGGACATCGGGGGTGGAGGTGGGTGAGGGGTGAGGGACAGGAGATGGTGGGTGGTGGGTGAGGGACAGGAGATGTTGGGTGGTGGGTGAGGGACAGGAGATGTTGGGTGGTGGGTGAGGGACAGGAGATGTTGGGTGGTCAGGAGATGGTAGAGTGGCCAAGAGGGTCCATGGGGTGGTCAGGAGGGTCCATGGGGTGGTCAGGAGGGTCCATGGGGTGGGCAGGGGGTGGTGGTTGGTCAGGAGATGCCATGGGATGGTCAGGAGGGTCCATGGGGTGGTCAGGGGGTGGTGAGGAAGGTCCACGGGGTGGTCAGGAGGGTCCATGGGGGGGTCCATGGGGTGGTCAGGAGATGGTCAGGAGGATCCATGGGATGGTCAGGGGGGTCCATGGGGTGGTCAGAGGGTCCACGGGGTGGTCAGGAGGGTCCATAGGGATGGTCAGGGGATGGTCAGGAGGGTCCATGGGGTGGTCAGGAGGGTCCATGGGATGGTCAGGAGGGTCCATGGGGTGGTCAGAGGGGCCATGGGGTGGTCAGAGGGTCCACGGGGTGGTCAGGAGGGTCCATAGGGATGGTCAGGGGATGGTCAGGAGGGTCCATGGGGTGGTCAGGAGGGTCCATGGGATGGTCAGGAGGGTCCATGGGGTGGTCAGGAGGTCCATGGGATGGTCAGGAAGGTCCATGGGGTGGTCAGGGGGTGGTCAGGAGGTGCCATGGGATGGTCAGGAAGGTCCATGGGGTGGTCAGGAGGGTCCAAGGGGTGGTCAGGAAGGTCCATGGGGTGGTCAGGAGGGTCCATGGAATGGTCAGGGGGTGCCATGGGATGGTCAGGAGGGTCCATGGGTGGTCAGGAGGGTCCATGGGTGGTCAGGAGGGTCCATGGGATGGTCAGGAGGGTCCATGGGGTGGTCAGAGGGGCCATGGGGTGGTCAGAGGGGCCATGGGGTGGTCAGGAGGTGCCATGGGGTGGTCAGGGAGTGGTGGTTGGTCAGGAGGGTCCATGGGGTGGTCAGGAAGGTCCATGGGGTGGTCAGGGGTGGTCAGGAGATGCCATGGGGTGGTTAGGGGTGGTCAGAGGGTCCATGGGGTGGTCAGAAGGTCCATGGGGTGGTCAGAAGGTCCATGGGGTGGTCAGGAGGTGCCATGGGGTGGCCAGGACCTCCCCACCGTTCTCACCATCCAGGTCCAACACCTCCCTCATGCCGCTGACCACGGGGTCACCTCTCAGCACCAGACACAGCACGGCTGGGGTGGGAGGAGAAGACATCAGAGACCACCCTTGGGTGCCCCAGAGGTCCAGGGGAGCTCCCGCAGGGGTCAAGGAGGATCTGGGGGGGCTTTGGGGTCACCCACAGGTGTTGTGCTGGCAGTTGCCCTGGCTGTCCACCACCTCCTGGAGGTTCTCCACCAACTCCTCCGTGGTCTCCTGGAACTTCTCCGTGGTGTTGCTGCTCTGGGCCATGGTGAAGAAGACCTGGTGTCCCACCACGATGCTGCCGGACCTTTGGGGAGGGGACACAGGAGGTCACAGAGGGGTTTGGGGACACCCCAACCCCACCCCACCCCACCCCTGGGGGTGGTCAGGGACCCCTTTACTTGAGGCTGGTGATCTCCACGCCCTCGTAGCCAGGGATGGTCCCGTAGATCTTCTTGATCTGCAAGGGCAGAAGGTCACTTGGCCACCCCTGAGGGGACACGGTGGCCGTGGTGGGACACCGGGTTCCCCACGGCCTCACCTCCTGCCGGAAGTGGTTCTGGAAGAAGAGGAAGGTCTCGGAGGTCGGGTCCTCCAGGTCCTTGGAGTAGTTGAAGTTGGTGACGGTCACCTCCATGTCCAGGGTGGTCATGATGGTCCCAGGGAACGCTGGAGGGGCAATGGGGAGAAGGTGTCAGTGGGGTGGGACAGGGTGGGTGAGGACCTCCAGGGTGTCCAGGAACCCTGAGGACCTCCAGGACTTCCAGGGTGTCCAGGACCACCAAAGTGACCAGGACCTCCAGGATGGTCAGGATCCCCAAGGAGACCGGGTTCCTCAAGAAGACCAAGATCCCCAAGAGGACCAGGACCCCCAAAACCACCAGGACCCCAAAAAAGACCAGGTCCCCAAAGGTGCCCAGAAGCCCCAAGATGACCAGGACCACCAAGACCAAGACCCTCCAAAAGCACCAGAACCCCAAAGAAGACCAGGACCACCAAGATGACCAGAACCTTCAAGACCAAGATCCCCAAGAAGACCAGAACCCCCAAAACCCACCAGAACCCCCAAGATGACCAGGACCACCAAGATGATCAAGACCTTCAAGAAGACCAAGAGCCCCCCAAAAGCACCAGAGCCCCAAAGAAGACCAGGACCACCAAAAAGACCAGAACCCCAAGAAGACCAGGACCACCAAGATGGTCAAGGCCCTCAAGAAGACCAAGACCTCCCAAAACCACCAGAACCCCCCAAGATGACCAGAACCCCCCAAGATGACCAGGACCACCAAGATGACCAGGACCACCAAGACCAAGATCCCCAAGAAGACCAGAACCCCCAAAAACCACCAGGACCACCAAGATGACCAGAACCTTCAAGACCAAGATCCCCAAGAAGACCAGAACCCCCAAACCCACCAGGACCCCCGAGATGCCCAGGCCCCCCAGGGGTGGGGTGGGGTGGGACCACCACTCACGCAGGTTGGTCTCCACGGTGTCGGTGGAGAACTCGCAGCGTGGACCGGCGTAGGACGGGCTGCAGAGACAACCGGCGCCGGTGGAGGTCCCCCCGTTCTCACACAGCCCTGGTGGGGACACGGGGACATGGGGACATCAGCGGGGCACGGGGACACCCCCGGTGAGCGTGGAGGACATCTGGGGAGGACTCACCTGGAGGAGGACCAGCGGTGGTCCAAAGGGTGGTTGGGGTGGTCCCTGGGGTGGTCGTGGAGGTCCCTGAGGTGGTTGTGGTGGTCCCTGAGGTGGTGGACATTGCTGTGGAGGTCCTCGGGGCGGTGGTGGAGGTCACTGAGGTGGTCGTGGTGGTCCCAGAGATGGAGGAGGTGGTCCCGGAGGTGGTTGTGGTGGTCCCTGAGATAGTTGTGGTGGTCCCTGGGATTGTTGTGGTGGTCCCAGAGTTGGTCATAGTGGTCCCAGAGTTGGTCGTGGTGGTCCCTGAGATAGTAGTGGAGGTCCCTGAGGTGATCGTGGAGGTCCCTGAGGTGGTTGTGGTGCTACTCGGGATGGTTGTGGTGGTCCCAGAGGTGGTTGTGGAGGTCGCTGGGATTGTGGTGGTGGTCCCAGAGGTGGTTGTGGTGGTCCCTGAGATAGTTGTGGTTGTCCCTGGGGTGGCTGTGGTTGTCCCTGAGATGGTCGTGGTGGTCCCAGAGGTGGTTGTGGAGGTCCCTGAGATAGTAGTGGTGGTTCCCAGGGTGGTCGTGGTGGTCCCTGAGATGGTCGTGGTGGTCCCTGGGATGGTCGTGGTGGTCCCTGGGATGGTTGTGGTGGTCCCTGGGATGGTCGTGGTGGTCGCTGTGGTGGTTGTGGTGCTACTTGGGATGGTCGTGGTGGTCCCGGATGTGGTTGTGGAGGTCCCTGGGGTGGTTGTGGTGGTACCCAGGGTGGTTGTGGAGGTCCCTGAGGTGGTTGTGGTGGTCCCAGATGTGGTCGTGGTGGTCCCTGGGGTGGTCGTGGTGGTCCCTGAGATAGTTGTGGTGGTCCCTGGAGTGGTCGTGGTGGTCCATGGAGTGGAGGAAGTGGTCCCTGAGGTGGTTGTGGTGCTACTCGGGATGGTCGTGGTGGTCCCAGATGTGGTTGTGGTGGTCCCTGGGGTTGTCGTGGTGGTCCCTGGGATGGTTGTGGTGGTTAATGGAGTGGAGGAGGTGGTCCCTGGGGTGGTTGTGGTGGTCCCTGAGGTGGTTGTGGTGGTCCCAGAGGAGGTTGTGGTGATTGCTGGAGTGGTCATGGTGGTCCATGGAGTGGTTGTGGTAGTTCCTGGGACTGTGGTGGTGGTCCCAGAGTTGGTCGTGGTGGTCCCTGGGAAGGCTGTGGTGGTCCCTGGGGTGGTTATGGAGGTCCCTGAGGTGGTTGTGGTGGTCTCTGGGGTGGAGGACGTGGTCCCTGGAATGGTCGTGGTGGTCCCTGAGATAGTAGTGGAGGTCCATGGGGTGGTCATGGTGGTCTCTGGGGTGGTTGTGGTGCTACTCGGGATGGTTGTGGTGGTCCCAGATGTGGTTGTGGAGATTGTTGGGGTTGTGGTGGTCACGGGAGTGGTCATGGTGGTCCCTGAGATGGTTGTGGTGGTCCCTGGGGTGGTTGTGGTGGTTCCCGGAGTAGTTGTGGTGCTTCCTGGGACTGTGGTGGTGGTCCCAGAGTTGGTCGTGGTGGTCCATGAGATAGTAGTGGAGGTCCCTGGGGTGGTCGTGGTGGTCCCTGGGATGGTCGTGGCGGTTCCCGGGGTAGTTGTGGTGGTTCCTGGGACTTTGGTGGTGGTCCCAGAGTTGGTCGTGGTTGTACCTGGGGTAGAGGAGGTGGACCCTGGGGTGGTCGTGGAGGTGCCTGGGGTAGAGGTGGTGGTCCCTGGGATGGTTGTGGTGGTCCCAGAGTTGGTCATAGTGGTCCCAGAGTTGGTCGTGGTTGTCCCTGGGATGGTGGTGGTGGTCCCTGGAGTGGTCGTGGTGGTTCCCGGGGTAGTTGTAGTGGTACCTGGGACTGTGGTGGTGGTCCCAGAGTTGGTCGTGGTGGTCCCTGAGATAGTAGTGGAGATCCATGGGATGGTCGTGGTGGTCCCAGATGTGGTTGTGGAGATCGCTGGGGTTGTGGTGGTTCCTGGGGTGGTCGTGGTGGTTTCTGGGACTGTGGTGGTGGTCCCAGAGTTGGTCGTGGTGGTCCCTGGGGTGATTGTGGAGGTCCCTGGGGTGATTGTGGAGGTCCCTGGGATGGTCGTGGTGGTCCCAGATGTGGTTGTGGAGGTCGCTGGGATTGTGGTGGTCATGGGAGTGGTCATAGTGGTCCCTGGGATGGTCGTGGTGGTCCCTGGGATGGTCGTGGCGGTTCCCGGGGTAGTTGTGGTGGTTCCTGGGATTGTTGAGGTGGTCCCAGAATTTGTCATAGTGGTACCTGAGATGGTTGTGGTGGTACCTGGGACTCTGGTGGTGGTCCCAGAGTTGGTCGTGGTGGTCCATGGAGTGGAGGAGGTGGTCCCTGGGATGGTTGTGGTGCTACTCGGGATGGTCATGGTGGTCCCAGATGTGGTTGTGGAGGTTGCTGGGGTTGTGGTGGTCCCAGAGGAGGATGTGGAGGTTGCTGGAGTGGTCATGGTGGTCCATGGAGTGGCCGTGGTAGTCCCTGGGATTGTGGTGGTGGTCCCTGGGGTGGTCGTGGTGGTCACAGGAGTGGTTGTGGTGGTGCCTGGGACTGTGGTGGTGGTCCCAGAGTTTGCCATAGTGGTACCTGAGATGGTCGTGGTGGTCTCTGGCGTGGTCGTGGTGGTCCCTGAGATGGGAGTGGAGGTCCCTGGAGTGGTCGTGGTGGTTAATGGAGTGGAGGAGGTGGTCCCTGAGTTGGTTGTGGTGGTCACTGGAGTGGTCGTGGTGGTACCTGGGACTGTGGTGGTGGTCCCAGAGTTGGTTGTGGTGGTCCCTGGGGTGGTCGTGGTGGTCCCAGAGGAGGTTGTGGAGATTGCTGGAGTGGTCATGGTGGTCCATGGAGTGGCCGTGGTAGTCCCTGGGATTGTGGTGGTGGTCCCAGAGTTGGTTGTGGTGGTCCCTGGGGTGGTCGTAGAGGTCCCTGAGGTGGTTGTGGAGGTTGCTGGGGTTGTGGTGGTCCTTGAGATGGTTGTGGTGGTCCCTGGAGTGGTCGTGGTGGTCCCTGGGATGGTTGGGGTGGTCACTGGAGTGAAGGAGGTGGTCCCTGGGGTGATTGTGGTGGTCCCTGGGATGGCTGTGGTGCTACTCGGGATGGTCATGGTGGTCCCAGATGTGGTTGTGGAGGTTGCTGGGATTGTGGTGGTCGTCCCAGAGTTGGTTGTGGTGGTCACTGGAGTGGTTGTGGTGGTCCCTGGGGCAGTTGTGGTGCTACTTGGGATGGTTGTGGTGGTCCCAGAGTTGGTCGTGGTGGTCACTGGAGTGGTTGTGGTGGTTCCTGGGGTGGTTGTGGTGATCCATGGAGTGGAGGAGGTGGTCGCTAATGTGGTCATGGTGGTCCCAGAGGTGGTCGTGGTGGTCGCTGAGGTTGTCAGGGTGGTCCTTGAGGTGGTTGGGGCGGACTCTGGGGTGGTTGTGGTGGTCGCTGAGGTGGTCATGGTCCTTGGGGTGGTCGTGGTGGCCGCTGGGATGGTCATGGTGGTCCCCGGGATGGTTGTTTTGGTCCCTGGGGTGCTTGTGGTGGTCTCGGGGATGGTTGTGGAGGTCCCTGAGGAGGTCATGGTGGTCTCTGAGGTGGAAGAGGTGGGACTTGAGGTGGTTGGGTTGGTCCCAGAGGTGCTCATGGTGGACCCTGGGGTGGTTGTGGAGGTTCCTGAGGTGGAGGAGGTGGTCACTGGTGTGGTTGTGGTGGTCTCTGAGGCTGTGGTGGTCCCTGAGGAGGTCGTGGTGGTCCCTGAGGAAGTCATGGAGGTCCCTGAGGAGGTTGTGGTGGTCTCTGAGGTGGAGGAGGTTGTCACTGGTGTGGTCGTGGCTGTCTCTGTGGTGCTCATGGAGCTCCCTGGAGGTGTCGTGGAGGTCCATGAGGAGCTCGGGGTCAGCTCTGGGGTGCTCGTGCTTGTCCTGTCAGTGCTGGAGGTGCCTGAGGTGGTTGTGGTGGTCCGTGGGGTGGTTGTGAAGGTTCCTGAGGTGGAGGAGGTGGTCACTGGTGTGGTTGTGGTCTCTGAGGTGGAGGAGGTGGTCCATGGGATGGTCGTGGTGGTCTCTGAGGTGGTCATGGTCCCTGTGGGGGTCATGGTGGCCTCTGGGGTGGTCGTGGTGGTCCCCAAGATGGTCGTTTTGGTCCCTGGGGTGCTTGTGGTGGTCTCTGAGATGGTCATGGTGGTCTCTGAGGTGGAAGAGGTGGGACTTGAGGTGGTTGGGTTGGTCCCAGAGGTGCTCATGGTGGATCCTGGGGTGGTTGTGGAGGTTCCTGAGGTGGAGGAGGTGGTCGCTGGTGTGGTCGTGGTGGTCTCTGAGGTGGAGGTGGTCTCTGAGGAGGCTGTGGAGGTCTCTGAGGTGCTCATGGAGCTCCCTGTGGTCATTGTGGAGGTCCATGAGGAGCCTGGGGTCAGCTCTGGGGTGCTCCTGCTGGTCCTGTCAGTGCTGGAGGTCGCTGGCGTGGTCGTGGTGGTCCATGAGGTGGTCGTGGTGGTCTCTGGGATGGTCATGGTGGTCTCTGAGGTGGAGGTGGTCTCTGGGGAGGTCGTGGAGGTCTCTGAGGAGGCCATGGTGGTCTCTGAGGAAGTCTTGGAGGTCCCTGAGGTGGTCTCGGTGGTTCCTGAGAAGGTCTCGGTGGTTCCTGAGGTGGTCTTGGTGGTTCCTGAGGTGGTCTCGGTGGTCCCTGAGATGGTCTCGGTGGTTCCTGATGTGGCCTTGGTGGTCTCTGAGGTGGTCTCGGTGGTTCCTGAGAAGGTCTCGGTGGTCTCTGAGAAGGTCGTGGCTGTCACTGAGGGGGCCGTGGAGGTCCCTTGGACTCTGGTTGTCCCCACGATGGCGGCTGCAGGGGCGGGTCCAGGATGAGCAGAGACCCCCAAGGCCCTCCCAGGGTGGACACCCCAACCTTCACCTTCCTCCTCCTCCTCCTCCTCCTCTTCCTCGATCCTCCTCCTGGCCTTTGACTCATCCAAACCCTCCTGTCCTCCACTCCCCTTCATCTTCACCCTCCTCTTCCTCCTCCTCCTCCAAGACCTTCACCACAGGGACCCTCCACCCTTTTCTCCACCTTCCTCCTCCTCCTCCTCCTCCTCCTCCTCCTCCTCCAGGACCTTCATCATTTGTTGATGTCCTTCATCCTCCCCTGCAGTCTCAAACCTCTCCCACCCCAAGTTCTTCATCTTCTTCATCCTCCTCCTCCTCCTCCTCCAAGACCTTCAGATCTGAACCCCTCAAACCTCCCCACCCCTGATTCCTCTTCCTCTTCTTCATCCTCTTCATCCTCCTCTTCTTCATCCTCATCCTCTTCACCCTCCTCTTCCTCCAGCCCCCAATGTCCCCTCTGTCCCCAATGTCCCCAATGTCCCCAAATGTTCCCCAATGTCCCACCAATGTCCCCCCAGTGTCCCCAATGTCCCCAATGTCCCCAGTGTCCCCACTGTCCCCACTGTCCCCAATGTCCCCAACGTCCCCTCTGTCCCCATTATCCCCATTGTCCCCTCTGTCCCCAATCCCCCCAATGTCCCCGATGTCCCCGATGTCCCCTCTGTCCCCATTATCCCCACTGTCCCTGATGTCCCCAATGCCCCTCACTGTCCCCGATGTCCCCAATGTCCCCGATGTGTTCAATGTCCCCAATGTCCCCAATCTCCCCAGTGCCCCCAATGTCCCCGATGTCCCCATTATCCCCAATATCCCCAATGTCCCCGATGTCCCCTCACTGTCCCCGATGTCCCCGATGTCCCTGATGTGCTCGATGTCCCCACTGTCCCCAATGTCCCCACTGTCCCCAATGCCCCCAATGTCCCCACTGTCCCCAATGTCCCCAACGTCCCCAAACCCCCAAATGTCCCCCCAATGTCCCCATTATCCCCAATGTCCCCAATGCCCCCAATGTCCCCGATGTCCCCACTGTCCCCTCTGTCCCTCTGTCCCCACTGTCCTCAATGTCCCTGATGTCCCCTCTGTCCCCAATGTCCCCAATGTCCCCACTGTCCCCAATGTCCCTGATGTCCCCAAATGTCCCCATTATCCCCAATGTCCCCATTATCCCCAATGTCCCCAATGTCCCCAATGCCATCCCAATGTCCCTCTGTCCCCACTGCCCCTGATGTCCCCAATGTCCCCTCCGTCCCCTCTGTCCCCAATGTCCCCACTGTCCCCAATGTCCCCAATGTCCCCCCAATGTCCCCAGTGTGACCACTATCCCCACTATCCCCACTGTCCCCATTATCCCCAATATCCCCAATGTCCCCACTGTCCCCTCACTGTCCCCTCTGTCCCCCTGTCCCCTGTCCCTGTCCCGTGTCCCTCACCGGCGATGGCACAGCCCAGCACCACCAGCAGTTCCCCGCGTGTCCCCCCGGCCATGGCCACGTCCCGGCCCCGACTGGGCCGAGCCGGCGGTGACAGGGACAATATCGGGGGGGACACGGACCTTTGTCCCCAGGGGTGGCGCAGGTGGGCGGGGGGTGACACACGAGGTGACACAGAGGTGACACACGGAGGTGACACACGGAGGTGACACACACGGCGGAGAATGCGGCGGCCGCGCCCGCGCGGAGCTTCCTCCATGGGGCGATGGCACCGATGGCACCGCGGGGACAGCGGGAGTGGCACCGAGAGCGGGGGGGACACGGGGGGGGGACAGGGAGGTGGCACCGAGATCAGGGGGGACATGGAGGTGGCACTGACAGGGGTGGGGACACTGGGGTGGGGACAGGGAGGTGGCACTGAGATCAGGGGGGACACGGGGGGGGGACAGGGAGGTGGCACAGAGATGTCCTGGTGGCCATCAGGGATGTGGGGATGGGGACACAGAGGTGGCACTGACAGGGGTGGGGACATGGAGGTGTCCCATGGGTCCTTGGGGACACAGAGATGCGGACATGGAGGTGGCACTGAGATCAGGGGGGTCACGGGGGTGGGGACAGGGAGGTGGCACAGAGATGTCCTGGTGGCCATAAGGAACATGGGGATGGGGACAGGGAGGTGGCACTGAGATCAGGGGGGACACGGGGGGGGGGCAGGGAGGTGGTACCGAGATCAGGGGGGACACAGAGATGTCCTGGTGGCCATCAGGGACATGGGGATGGGGACATGGAGGTGGCACTGAGAGGGGTGGGGGACACGGGGGTGGGGGGACAGGGGGTGGCACCGAGATCAGGGGGGACATGGAGGTGGCCTGATGGGGACATGAAGGTGTCCCATGGGTCACTGGGGACACGGGGATGGGGACATGGAGGTGGCACCGAGATCAGGGGGGACATGGGGATGTCCTGGTGGCCATCAGGGACACGGGGGTGGGGACAGGGAGGTGGCACTGAGATGTCCTGGTGGCCATCAGGGATGTGGGGATGGGGACACAGAGGTGGCACTGACACTGGGGGGGACATGGGGATGTCTTGGTGACCATCAGGGACACGGAGATGGGGACAGGGAGGTGGCACTGAGATCAGGGGGGACACTGAGGTGGCCTGATGGGGACATGGAGGTGTCCCGGGGGTCCTTGGGGACACAGAGATGTCCTGGTGGCCATCAGGGACAGGGGGATGGGGACATGGAGGTGACACTGAGAGGGGTGGGGACACAGAGATGTCCCATGGGTCACTGGGGACACAGAGATGGGGACACAGAGGTGGCACTGAGATCAGGGGGGACATGGAGGTGGCACTGACAGGGGTGGGGACACTGCGATGGGGACACTGGGATGGGGACACAATGTCCTGGTGGCCATGAGGGACACTGGGATGGGGACACGGATGTCCCCAGGTGTGTCCCAGGTGTCCCCAGGTGTGTCCCAGTCCCTCCCCGGGGGTGTCCCCGTGACGTCACCGCGGGGCCCCGTGGGGGAGGGGCGGGTGACCCTTGGCCGGTGGCCTTGGAGGGGGAGGGGACACACCTGGGGACACACCTGGGGACACCTGGGGGGGACAGGGACACACCTGGGGGGACAAAAATCCCCCAAATTTGCCCCAAATCCCCCCAAATTCCCCAAAATTCCCCCCAAATCCCCAAATCGCCCCAAATCCCTCAAAATTCCCCAAATTTCCACCAGAAATCCCCAAAAATCCCCCGAATTTCCCCAAATCTCCCAAAATTGCCCCAAAAATCCCCCAAATCCCTCAAATCCCCAAAATTGCCCCCAAATCCCCAAATTGCCCCAAATCCCTCAAAATCCCCCAAATTTCCACCAAAAATGCCCCAAAATTTGCCCCAAAATCCCCCCAAAATTTGCCCCAAATCCCCCTCAAATCCCCCAAAATCCCCCAAAATTCCCCAAATTTCCACCAAAAATCCCCAAAATTCCCCAAATCCCCCAAATTTGCCCCAAAAATCCCCCAAATTTGCCCCAAATCACCCAAAATTCCCCAAAATCCCCCCGGGGGTGGGGTGGGGGGTGGGGGTTGGGCAGCGCATCCCCCCCCCCCCTTCCCCTCCCCCTCCCGGCGCGGGGGGAGGGGCGGCGCTGCCGCAGGGGGGGAGGGGCCAAAGGAGGCGCCCCTCCCCCACCCCTCCCCTCCCTCCCCCCCCCCCCAATTTAACGCCGCCCCTCCCCCACCCCCCCCCGGTATTTTGCAGCCGCCGGAGCCGCAGCGGAACCGGAGCCGCGGTCGGTGCCGCCCCTCCCCCACCCCCAGCGCGACCCCCACCCCGGGACCCCTCCCCACCATCCCCTCCCCCACCCCCACCCCTCCCCCCTCCCCTTTTTTAATGACCCCCAGCGGATACGGCCCCATCCCCGCCCCTCCCCCACCCTGGAGACCCCCCCCCAAAACAAACAACATCGCCCCTCCCCCATCCCTGAGACCCCCCCCACAATAAACAACATCGCCCCTCCCCCCCTGAGACCCCCCCCACATCGCCCCTCCCCCACCTGAGACCCCCACCCGGCCCCACCCCCCACATCGCCCCTCCCCCACCTGAGACCCCCACCCCACAACATCGCCCCTCCCCCACACCTGAGACCCCCACCCTGCCCCACCCCCACATCGCCCCTCCCCCACCCTTGAGACCCTCCCCCCACATCGCCCCTCCCCCACACCTGAGACCCCCCCCAACCGGCCCCACCCCACATCGCCCCTCCCCCACCTCCAGGTTGCCCCTCCCCCACCCTTGAGACCCCTCCCCACATCGCCCCTCCCCCATCCCTGAGACCCCCACCCCGCCCCTCCCCCACCCCCCCCCCGGGGTCCCATTTTGGGGTGGGGGAGGGGCCGCGCAGGGCGGGGCTGGGGGTGGGGGAGGGGCCCTATAGGGCCGGATCGATGGGGGATTTGGGGGGGGGGGGGGGTCCCTATAGGGCCGGGGGGTCCCTATAGGGTCTATAGGGCCAGGGGGGTCTCTATGGGATTTATAGGGCCGGGGGGGTCCCTATAGGGCTATGGGGGTCTCTATAGGGCCAGGGGGTCTCTATAGGATCTATAGGTCCGGGGGGGTCCCTATAGGATCTATAGGGCCGGGGGATCTCTATAGGGCTGGGGGGGTCCCTATAGAATCTATGGGGCCGGGGGGGTTCCCTATAGGATCTATGGGGCCGGGGGGGGTCCCTATAGGGCCAGGGGGGTCTCTATAGGGCCGGGGGGGTCCCTATAGGGCCGGGGTGTCCCTATAGGATCTATGGGGCCGGGGGGTCTCTATAGGGCCAGGGGGTCTCTATAGGTTCTATGGGGCCGGGGGGGTCCCTATAGAATCTATAGGGCCGGGGGGGTCCCCAGAGGTGCCCCTCCCCCCCCCCCCCCGGCGCTTCCGGCGGGAATTTTTCCCGGGAATTTTTCCGGGTTTATTTTGGGAGCCGCCACCTGCCCCGGGGGGGGGAGGGGCGCGGTGGGGGAGGGGGGAGGGGTCTTTATTTTGGGGGGTGGGGGCGGGGTCAGGATGATTTTGGGTGGGGCCAAATAAATTTGGGGACCCTCACCCCAAATTTCAGGGGTTCTGCCCATCCCCCCCCCCAAATCCCCCCCAAATGGAGACCCCCCCCAATTTGGGACCCCCCCTCAAA